TTATTGCTCGGTACCACTGAATTGGTTCTGATTCATAATGACCATATGCAAGAGAGCAAAGCTTGTCCTGCTCCATTCTCACAATTGTTATGTGTGAGCCCATTATTGCAGCCACTGTGTCAACCCCGTTTCATCAAGGCTCTCCCTCTTTTACACTCTTATGCTCATTTATCATATACAATATGCTTTCTCAGGTCCTCGTCTCTCCTCATGGCATTTCCAATGTACAGGAGACTAAGTCTTGCCATCTTTGCTTCTCTGGAGATGCCATCCATCCTCCAGAGATGTGGTCATTCTCTGGCACTCTATGTTCCTCAGTATTCCTTACTAACACCCTAATGTAAAGATATCATTTGATTAATTCCGCTGTATCCAGCATCCCAGCAACACAGAACTGCCACGATCGCATGAGAAACTTGTCCATTAGTGGTGTTCAGCTGTCAGTGCAGGAAAGAAATCTTTGCTCACATTCTTCACAAATACTTTCCAGAAATTACTTTGTCTTCATTATGTTCTAAGATAGAGGCCCCCCCGCCCCCCCGCCACAATTCTTTAACCCTGAATTTCTTATGGAGAGCCAATTTTTTATAGCTGTTGTTGGGTGCATGTAGGAACCTTGGTGATGTATTACTTTATGCCATGGACTGCTAATTGCAAGGCCAGGAGTTCAAAATCACCATGAATGTGAATCCACTTGACAGCAATGAACTTGGTTTTTGGTGGGGCACGGGGAGACCTGGTTGATCCAATGAAATTTGGTTAATGATGATATTTGGACCCAAGAAGATAGCTTACAAAATGTGGATGTTTCTAAAAAGGATCCTTCAAGTTATTTGAGCAATTTAAAAAATGTTGATTCAAATGGTTTCTTATAATACTATGGTCAAAATCACATATTACCGTAGCAGCTTTCATGCTGGTAACTTCTTTTCTTCTTTCTGTTTCCAGAATGGAAGAGGGATAGAAATAGTTTATTTTACTGTATTACAAAAATGCTGGACTTTAAAGTACTAAGTGTATTTTTGGCTCCTATTTGATCCACTAGCTTCAGCGCTAAATTCTCTGTTGTATTATATTTTTAAATAACGTCATTATATAATCATTTCTTTCCAAGAGAGTGACATATCATTTTGGTTTTATTTTATATTTTTATTAAATGACTCTTTAAAATGCTCATAATGTTTAGTCTTACTTAATGATCTAATTATGCAACACTTCCTATAAGAATAATAGTAAAACATTAAAAATCTGCTATCCAAGTATGATGATGTGCACTTAGGAAAAAGGCTTACAAGATGTGAGGCTCAGTTTAAAGAGTTGAAGTTATGTATCCACTGGGCTGGGCCATGTATTAAGTCGTTTGGCAGTTGTGCGTTGATGTATTTTGGCAGTTATATATTGATGTAGTCAACTTCCATTTTAAGATCTGATTATGGTCATCCTCCATTCTTGCATAATGCTAGTTTGTGAATAATTACCTGGTGTTTGGAACCTCGCCATGTTGGTAAGCAAGGGGTATAGCCAGATATGAGATTAGCCATTTTCCTTATTTATTTGTTTATTTCTAAGAGCTTTATTGAAATTTATCATGGTAATCTAACTAAAATCATGCAAATCAGTTATATAGTCACTCTGTTTTATTGTTTTCCTGACGGGCTGAACCCTTTTACATTTCATTCAGTAACGTTAGTTTCTAGTGCCTCTGTAAACTCCCAAAACTTTTTAACAAATCTTCTGGAACAACCTACTGGTGTGAAGTTGTATGTCATTGTGGTTTTGATATGCATTTCACTGATGGCAAATGATGCCCCTCATCTTCTCATGTGCTTATTAACTATGTATATATCTTCTTTGAAGAAATGCTTATGCAGATCTTTGTCCAATTAAAAAAATAGATTTAAAACAATTTTAATACTGAAGCATACGTTCTTTGTGTACTAGACAAAACTCTCTTTTCAGTTACATAATTTAGAAAATTTTTTCCTTTTTTGGTTCATTGTACAAAATCTTGTATTATCCATGATGAAGACATGTTTTGTGTGTTTTTCTTTTGTTTGTAGTACGTTGGGTGTGATACCGTTTTTCAAGGAGACTTTGTTAACACAAGGACATACACATGCACATCTATATTGTCTTCTAAGAGTGACCAAACTTCAGTCGTCTTGTTTGACCCTTATTTCATGTGGCAGGATCCTTGGTGGAGTGCTGACTGAAGCACTTAACTGTCTCCAAACAGTCAGTAGTTTGAATCCAGCAGTCACTGAAGTGGAGGAAACATATGGCATACTATTTCCATAAAGATTTACATCCTTAGGAGTAAAGAGAGAGTGGAAGAAGTCAGGGTGTAGTGGATACATTAATAGCAGAAGCACCCATTTGACTGAAGATAAACAGGACTTTTGAGACTTACCCTTCCCAGCTGACTGCTTTTTTCCTAATCAACTCATCATAGCTGTACTATTTTTTTTAAGTACGTAATTTTTTCCTTTTCACTAAAATATTTTACAATGATATAACATCTATATTTTGAAAATGGTGAAAAATTAAGAGATAACTTGTAAATACAATTTCCAATGTGTTTGTTTAGAGATCAGCAGGAAAGTCCAGGAACATACATAAAACATTGTTGCATGAATCAATGTTTTGTTCTTGTACATTACTGTGAGCTGTCAAAATACAGCAAATATGAAAAACAACAAATTATGCTTCTGTTTATTTTATTAGGGTGGTGCTCATTATAATTTAACATTATGCAACAATTGCTATCTGATATTATGTATCTAATTAGTATTAAATTAAACGATACTTTTTAAAGGAAAACAGCTAAAGAAAGCAAGTGTGTCAATTCTTAGCCACAGCTGTTATTAAAATTAAACAAATGGACACTATGTTTATTTATTTTTCCTTTTTTTTAAAGACATTATTAATTTGGAGTTAACACATATATCATCTCATTCCATAGTTCAGTCACGTCAAGCAGTATTGTACAATTGCTACCATAATCAGTTTCTGAACATTCTTTTTCTTTGTGGACTCAAATGACATAACACCTCTGAGATAAACCCTAATATGAACAAACCAAACCAAAACAAAATGTTGAAAACCAGATCAGGTCCGGCATAGGCACTATTTTGAATAATGTCTCACCTATCATATAAAATATTTTAAAATGAATTTGTCAAGAAATCTAAGTACCATCTACCATTCCTTATAGCTTGTAACAAGATAACACTGGGCATATATTTAAAGAAAGGAAAATATAAAGTGAAAAATGCGGTGACATTTTTGTATAAATATGAGGTGATAAAAATCAAAGATCCTTATAATTTAAAAAAATAGCATTACAGTAAAAATACATTTTTATTATAACACATTACTGCAAGAAAAATCTTAAAATTTAATATTAAAACTGAGTGTGATGACACAAATTTTTAAATGAAAACAGCTCAATAACTGAAGTTAGCCAGCATAAATGAGCCATTTCTTGCAAATAAAGTTTGCTAGAGAAATGCTGCATGAAAGTTCATCACCTGTGTAATATATTAAAATTATAGGACATACTTGATATTTAATGCTCCTCTTTTGCTTTCCATATGTTAAGTATTTTTCTTACTCTCAAAAAGTACCTAATATACATAAAACTTTCTTGTCATGAAATATTCTGATTAGGTAATGCCTGATTCCCTTATGTGTAAATTACACACATATGCATTTTTAGGAGCAAAATAAAATATCTATCTGATTTTATTCTTTACTATAAGAGAAGTCAACACGAGAGTCTTCCTTCTCAAGAAATAAGTAAAATTCAATAAGTAATTCAAACATCCACAGGAAATTCAGAATTACTTTCAAAATCATATCTTTATACAAAGTGCAAAAGTGGAAAACCCGAGTTAGACCCTTGTGTTCTTGTCTGCCACACCATTAATATAAATACTAGAACTCCATAATAAAATCAAACATTGTATGCATTATTTGCAAAAGGAATAATATATCTGTCTCTTTTTCTTCATTTGATTTTGCACAATTTGAAAGAAAAAAGCCTCAGAGAACTAGACACATTTTACTTCTAAACTGTATTTAAAATCTTTTTTAGTGATATCTTAGCCTTTACCTATAAATTTGCTTCTAATCCACTAAAATTACCTTGTAATAATAAGCTACTTTAGGTTTGAAAAAATGCAAATTATTATTTTGTAATTACTAAAGCTCTTTTCCACAAAGAACAAATAATCCCCCAGTATGTCACTTAGCAATGAATCTGAAGCATATGTAATAAATGTAAATATCAATAAGTGCATCTGAATGTGGGGGACCATGTCCTCTTTCATGCTGCCATGCATTCCTCAGCCAAGTAAGCAGCCTTTTATCTCCATGCAAATTTCATTGTAAAGGTATATTTAACTATTCCAGATATTCACGTGGGTGAGCACTTTCTTTCTTTTGCCAAATGTAACACCTTTCTCATAGTAGATTTTTTTAGATTTATATTCACTTCACATCGTTCAAGTTAAGATCATAGTGCAAATATATGATAACTATTAGGTATAAGCAGATAGTTCTGAATTTGTTTTCCCCCACTGTTCTTGTGGCTCAGATAATTAAGATTATCTTTCATACAATGCAAGTCTAAAACAGAAGACTAATTTAGTAAAATGGCAATCTTCTAGAATGCCATTCTCCCTCTCATTCCTTTTAGAATTTGAAGAAGCCTTATATCTCTTTATATTTTAGGTGAATCTGAAACCAAAGAACAGACCACTGAGTCCCCACATTCATTGTGTGTCTGTCTTTTTCTCCTAATATCAATGTGGAAGACATTGTATATGCATTTTATCAAATTGGAATATATAAAAATTAAACTTACAAATATATTTTTTTGTTTAGTTAGTTGCTAAATTAGGGGGAAAGGTGCTTCAAGTAGTGGCTTGAGTAAAAGAAATATTGTAAATTCTGAATGACAATGCCACAGAATTTTAAGACTCAAATTGTGTTTTCAGATGTGAAATATTTAAAAGAAGAGGATGCAAATCGCAAGACGTTCACAGTCAGCAGCACACTAGACTTCCGAGTGGACCGCAGCGATGATGGAGTGGCCATCGTCTGCAGAGTAGACCATGAATCCCTCAATGCCACCCCTCAGGTAGCGATGCAGGTGCTAGAAATTCACTGTAAGTAAACATTATTTCTTCCTTCTTTTCTATGCATCAGACGTCTTCATCTTCTTTTACCATCATTTTAATATTATCTAATAAGAGCAAATAAAATGGGATATCTATCTAAAGTCTAAGGAAATACAATATAGTCATTAATACTGAGCAACATTCAAAGGAAAGAAGTCCTGTCTGGTTGTCACCCTGTACAATGAAGAAAAATAAAGGGGATTTTATAAGTTTGAAATAGGTGCTTTGTATGTATGAACATCTGTGGGCTGGTGGGTTGTTATTTGGTCAGAACCAGGGAGAGGTGGGAAGCTCAGAGGGGCCTTGATCAACTTTGTGGTGTGAAAACTTTGTTACATGTGAAGATGACTTCTCAGTGCTTTGAAATTAACCTATCTTTATCCTTTGGATGTAGTCAACTAAACCTGTATGAATACAAGGAGATATCTGTTATGTGTTAATCACAATTAGCATCCTTTCACAATGAATAACAATAGTATTAATTGGGTCATTCCAGCGGGCAGTGTTAAATGCTTCCCTGCTATTATCTTATTGAATACTCATACAAGCCTAATGAGTGGTTACTTTCATTAGCCATAATTTACTGATGAGGACACTGAAGGGTATGGAGATTGAGACATTGACTTGATGGTCTGCTAGCAATTATGCCATCTTTAGTACTTAGCAAGGTCCTAGAAAAATACAGATTTGAAAGTGAATGAAGCAAAATATGTAAGCTAATTCAAAAAAGAATAGAAGAGTGAAGTTGATACTTGGAACTCCATTCCTCTATGTTATAGACGTGGGAGCAGGAGCTCTGGTGGCACCGCAGGTTGAGCATTTGGTTGCTAACTGAAAGGTAGGCCATTAGAATCCACTAGCTGCTCCACAGGAGGAAGATGAGGAGGTCCATTTTTATAAAATGACAGCTTGGAAACATTATGAGGCATATTTACTCTGTTCTATAGGGTTGTTAAGCCTTTGGTATCAACACCAAACAGTGATTTGATTTTATTTGGATGATAAAATTATCTTAAGTATAAATTTTAAGTGTGATGTAATGTCTCTTTAAATCCTAAAACACTAAATTTTAGCAACTCTTGTACTAAAATTTTATTTTCATGTATTTATTCAATGAAGAATCCATTGAATGCCTTGTATGATGACAGTCCTAGGCACTGAGTCCTTATGTGGACTAAGCGGACACCCTTAAAACCAATTGAGATTGTGGCAAACTTTGAAAATCACTATCACTCTGACCAACACATCCCGCATCTATTCTATGGAGAAACAAAATGAAAAACAAATTGATAAAGGCAAATACTGAATCTTACATCTTGAAAACTGGTATAGGGAAAATGAATCAGCACACTCAGATCCAGTTGGAGAGCTGAGTCTGGTATCAAGGAGAGAGAGAGAGAGTGTGTTGCAGGGACGAATATAAAAGCCCTGACAGAGAAACATGTCTCCTGCTTTTGTTTCTAGAACATCAGGGAGATTGGTATAACCAGAATAAAAGTGTCAGGAAAGTGAGTTTTCAAAGGCCAGTGAAACACCAAGGGAATACATTTCTTTTCACCTCTTCTATAAAGTATCAGTTTGATTATAACATGCACAATATTTTTTTATTTATAATTTTCTAGTCACTGAATTTATTATCTGTTTCAGATTTCTAGTTTTGTTAATACTATTTTATCTGATGTTCTTTCTAAAGCAGACTCAGAAACAAGTATGTAATAACTGAGATTACCTGTAAATTTCAATTTATTATAGTGGAACCTTCAGAATATTACTGGAACTGCTTGACCTTCAGTTAACCTGAGAGATGAGTTCTGTGGGGGAACATGTAAAATAATTTAAGCAAAGTCCAACTGATCCACTGCCAACACCAAACTCACTCCCCTGTATATGATGCTGACTCTTAGTGACCTCTAGGACCATTTGTAACTGCTCTGGGGTTTTTCCAGACTAACTCTCTGGGGAAGTAGAAAGTTTAATTTCCCCCCACTCTGATTCAATAGGTGTTCAAGAAATGTCTATTTTTCCCACTTACATTTTCTATTTAATTGACAGGCTTTAATATATGGAAATTGCATCATTTGTTATGTTGAAAGGACTCAGGCCATCCACACCTTTCATAAAATATTGTATACTGGTAAAAATAAGAAGCCAAGTAACTGTTTAAAAATATTTCATTGAAAATTTGAATGTAATATATAAATATGATGAAATAAATGAACAGAAATCAAGTCATGATGAGGGCCAAAGTTTGCCAGTCAATGCTTACCAGAAACCTATGTGCAGTCAAGCAAAGTGAAGCTTGTTGGTTACTGCAAGAGATAGTCACCGTTGTCTATGGAAGAAAGCATTCAACCAACCAACAAAGCAAACAAACAACCTAACAAACAAAAAATGCTGATTCATGTTTCTGACAATGGAAGGAAGCACAGCCCAGACCTGCACCATCCTCACAATGGTTATGTGTAAGCCCATTGGTTCAGGAATTATATCAATTTATCTCATCCACAGCCTTCCTGTTTTTCACTGCCCTTCTGCTTTACCAAGCATTGTGTCCTTCTCTAGAAACTAGTCTCTCCTGACATCATGACCAAGGTATGTGGGACAAAGTCCCTCTACCTTTACCTCTAAGGGATTTTCTGGCTGTAATTCTTCCTAGACAGGGTTGCGTGCTCTTCTGGCAGTCAATGGTGCTTTTAACACTCTTTGCCAACACCATCATTCAAATACATCTATTCTTCTTTGGTCTTCCTTATTCAATGCCCAACTTTCACATGCAGTTGAAAATCCCTGGCTTTGGTCAGGCACACCCTAGTCTTCAAAAGGAACATCCTGGCTTTTCCACACTTTAAAGTGGGCTTGTGTAGCAGATCCACCCAATTCCATAGACCATTCAATCTCTTCACTACTGCTTCCATGAGTATGGTTTGTGGTTCCAACCAAGACAAAGTCCTTGGCAGCTTTAATCTTTTCTCCATTTATCATGATGATACCTGTAGGCCCCATTGTGAGGATTTTTGTTTTCTTTACATTAAGTTGTAATCCACATGGAAGACAGCAATCCTTGGTCTTCGTCAGCAAGTCCTCCTTACTTTCAGCAAGCTAGAAAATATCATCTGCATATTGCAGGTTGTTACTCGAGGACTCAGGTTCCTGCGCTCTCTGCCTCTGACTGCCATTGCGTTTAGTAGGACTCGGATTGATCATATGAGGATATGCTAAGACTGCCCTGAGGGTTTCTGAGACTGTAACTCTTTACAGGAGTAGAAAAGCTGACTTTTCTCCAGAGCTTGGGGCAGCTGGTGGTTTCCAATTGCTAAACGTGTGTTTAGCAACCCAACACATAACCACTATACCACTTGGGCTCCTGCAGGTTCTTCTGAAAGGAGTTCTGAATTGGGTAGTGGCAGAATTGGGGGCAATTCAATGACTGGTTATGCTGTTATGTCTTTACCTAGGACAAGTAGAAGTACTGAAGTAAAAGAGGAGATCACAAAGTCCTGTCACTTTATATGGCTGCTACGTTTGTCTTTGTCTTTGTAGTGGTTCAGACCTCCCGGGTTGTGGAAGGGTCTTTATTTTACTCTACTACAGTCATGGTGGAGCTTAATCTGATCATTTCTCATGTTACAAAGAAGTGTTTACATATTTTGGGAATCTGGCAGGTTAGCTGTCAGGTACAAACTGCCAGTTCTCAAGGTCATTTTTCATGCTCTTTGGAATCCATATTAGAACTATTATGTATTAACTGAGGTATTTATCATATTTTAAATGTGTATTATTGAGCAATACTTCATGTAAGAAAGCAATATGTTTGCCCGTACTTTTAGAAAACCTCACATTAAAAATTGTATACATGTAAATGACTGGTAGCTTAAAAATAACTTATCTATCATAGTTTTAATATGCAAGGATTTAGAAGGCAGAAACCAGATCTATTTAAATTATTTTTCCAGCTCTGGAATACTGTCATTCAAGTGTAGGAGATCAATTAAAACAAGCCCTTGCTAAATATGAATCAATCTTCAGGAATACAGAATATTCCCCAGAGATGACTTAAAGTGAAAGGAAACCACATGTTACACAAAATTAAGGCAAATTGGGTGTGTTCCTTGCAAACACACACACACAAATGACCACACCATCTCACTCACTGTTTCCAGTGAGGAGAGATTATAACTTCAGGTATGAAAAGCTATTATGAATTAAATAATATTCACCCCAAATATATATAGAAATCCTAAGTCCTCTACCTATTTATGCCATCCTATTTGGGAAGATGGTGAGAGGACAGATTGAAAAATCAAAACACTAATAGCACTCTTGTTATACTTACCAGAAATAATAGAATGTACCCTCACCTAGCTTTTATCAATTAAGTTTATAATAAAGTATGCATGTGCAAAATATTTCTGGTGATTTGGAACTCTTTTAGGCATGCAAATTAATTTCATAGAGACACTGTAATAAAGCTCCAAAGTTTAGAAGCTACGTATAAACTAGATACCAGCATATCTGTTTTAATTACTTTTTCAGTCAGTGTAATAGAGAATAAAATGGATAATAAGATGAGACAGAAATTATTTAACAAATAACAAATAAGTCTCTCTCTCTCTCTCTCTCTCTCTCTCTCTCTCTCTCTCTCTATATATATATATATATATATATATATGATCTTTCAAATAAGTGACTGCAAAGCTAGTGCTTATACAGGCACACTGCTAAAGGGACAAGTAGGGAAATCCCACACTTAGTCCTCATCGACACACGCCATGGTGCCCCTCGGTTGGCATTACTCAGAGCAGTAACCCAAGTTGCACCCTCCCATGGACCTTTTACCATACCAGATCAGAAAGAATCTTTAGTCCTGTTTACTCCCAATTTTAATCATAAGTTTTTGTGTCATCTTCTCAAACATGTCACCTGGTGAGATCTGAATCCCTTGCACCTCTCTAGCATAAATTGCAGCATAATTCTAATTCCCATCAAGA